TCGGTGTGCGCCAGATTGGCGAGTTCTATGGGGCCACCGAGTGCAACTGCAGCATCGCCAACATGGATGGGAAGGTGAGCGTGGCAGGGTGTCTGGCACGAGTCCGGGTTTGGGAATCGCTGTGGCCCGGAGCACAATAGCGGGTTAAGAGGGCTTCTGGGCTGCCCCCCACATGTGGGGACCCTCTTCTAGTACACAGTCATGTAACTGTCACTCCTGAGTTCCAGTCCATGGAGTGGCTGTGTGCGCTAGGCAGCTGCCTCAGTTTCCACCTGGGGAGGTGGCAGGGAGGCAGGGCTCACGGGCACCAAGGGAGGAGGTTGGGTGCTGATCCCCTCCTACTAGACAAGTCTCAGGCTCCTTGTTTTTGGGGGCTTTGTTTTTTCTTCTATAACAGGTTTAATAGCTCATTGGGTGTGTTCTACTTCCTCAACATCATGAGCTCAGTGCAGCGCCCCTCATTGGCGCTCTCTGCAAACAGATGCTTTCATGATTAGCTGTTACCTCCTTTCTGCCCTTACCCCTCTCCCTTCCCAACCTCCTCCTCCTCGAGGCCAGGAACAGATGAGAATAATAAGAAAGCAAGCACCAGGGTCAGAATTCTTTTCTGGGGTCCCAGCACCTGACTACAAGGCCCCATAGTGCATATCTATTGAGTGGACCTCCCCAGGGGCCACGTGGCCTCACTGGCACAGGTTGCTACTGTAACAAACATGCCCAACAGGATGTAGCGGCACAAACCCATCAGACAGGCATTTTTGCTCAGAGACTGATCCAGGCAGGCTGACATGCTGTGGGCAGTGAGCAGCAGCTCTGCCAGTGTCCCCATGTGGCTCCAGAGTCACTCCAGGTGCCCACTTCAGCCAGTGTAGAGGGTTTTGTGGACCAGGAAGTGGCAGCAAGCCAGCAGGTCACCTGCAACTGTAAGGGAGACTGAGAAGGTGGGAGGAGGAGTCCTAGGGAGGACCCCTTTTCAGGTCACCCAGGGTCACAGAGCTGGGGTGACACTGGGGGCGCTATTCCAGGCCCTGGGGCAGGAAAGGCAGCGTGTGATGAGGGAGGACACTGCCACCCTTGGGCTCCTTGCCGACTCAGTTCTCCTTGCTCCAGGTGGGCTCCTGTGGCTTCAACAGCCGCATCCTGCCCCATGTGTACCCCATCCGGCTGGTGAAGGTCAATGAGGACACTATGGAACTACTGCGAGATGCCCAGGGCCTCTGTATCCCATGCCAGGCAGGTGAGCGGGCCCTCACTCAGTCTTCCCGGAGCTGGGGTCCCTGCCCTCTGCCCTCCTAGTGCAACCTGAGTATGACCTCCTCCCCAGGGGAACCCGGCCTCCTCGTGGGCCAGATCAACCAGCGGGACCCATTGCGTCGCTTCGACGGCTACATCAGCGAGAGTGCCACCAGCAAGAAGATTGCCCACAGCGTCTTCTGCAAGGGCGACAGTGCCTACCTCTCAGGTGTGCACACCCTAGGGGCTGGCTGTGGGGATGGTGGCTGTCATCTCACCTTCCCCTCCCCCCTCTGCCAGGTGATGTGCTGGTGATGGATGAGCTGGGCTACATGTACTTCCGGGACCGAAGTGGGGATACCTTCCGCTGGCGTGGGGAGAATGTCTCCACCACCGAGGTGGAGGGTGTGCTGAGCCGCCTGCTGGGCCAGACAGATGTGGCTGTGTATGGGGTGGCCGTGCCAGGCAAGCTGGGGCTGTGGGGGTGGTCTAGGGTATGGCAGCCCCAAGGGACCCCAGCCAGGAGGAGCTTGAAGGTACAGGTGCCCTTGGGCAGTACACATCCTGGACGACTGCACACGACAGCCTGGGTGGGTGCCCCTGGAACTGGAGTCCCCCCTCTTGTGTGATTTGAGCCTCAGTTTCCTCATCCAGAAAATGGGATCATGAAAGCGACTCTGGCTCAGGGTTGCAGGAGTGTAGCAGGAGCTCAACAAAATGTTTTCTGCTTTGGCCAGTGTTAGCCCAGGTGGGAGGGACTGGAGATCAGAGGCCAGGGGCCGCTGTGTGAGTGTGTGTCTGGTCCCATGGTGGGCGAGGGATGGTGTTCTCAACTGAGCCTCTGTTTCTAGGAGTAGAAGGCAAAGCAGGCATGGCGGCCATTGCAGACCCCCATGGCCAGCTGAGCCCCAATGCACTGTACCAGGAGCTACAGAAGGTGCTAGCACCCTATGCCCGGCCCATCTTCCTGCGTCTCCTGCCTCAGATGGACACCACAGGTTCGCCGCACCCCTCCCCCACCCCTTATTTGTCCTGGTTCAGGCACTCAGGCCAAGTCTGGCATCATGGTTCACAGCCAGCTGGCACTGTGGGCTTGTGCAGGACCTTCTCTTGTTTTACTTACATATTTACTCCCATTCCTCATTCCCAACCGCACTAGACATTCTCCAGGTTTTGGTGCGTCTTTATTTTCTGCATTTTTCTGATGGAAGTTTGAGCAGATCATCTCACACCTCTGCTCTTTCTCGGATCTTTCACCCATCTTTGTATTGCCTCACTCCTTTTCTTTTTGATTTGTGGGAGTTCTTCAAAATGGTCTGGATATTAATTACTTAGCGATTTCAGACACTGTAAGTCTCTTCTCCCATTTGGGAGACTGTGAACTCTATCCACTATAGCCTTTGTTGAAAAGAAACCCTTAGTTTTGTCACATACTTACCATTTTTTTGTTTTGTTAATCCTCACTCGAGGATATTTTTTTCCATTGATTTTTAGAGAGAGAGATGGAGGGAAGGAAGGAGGGGGAGAGAGAAACATCAATGTGAGAGAGACACATTGACTGGTTGTCTCCTGCACACGTCCTGACTGGGGTCTGGGATTGAACTTGTAACCCAGGTATGTGCCCTTGACCAGGAATCAAGCCCACAACCCTTCAGTGCACAGGCCGACACACTAAGCTCTGAGCTAGGGCCATATTTATCCTTTTAAAAAATCTTATGGTTTATGCTTTTGAATTTTTGTTTAAAAAAAACCCACACAGACCTGTCTGGCCTGCGCAGCTTGGGGGTTGAGCGTCGGCCTATGAACCTGTAGGTCATGGTTCGATTCCTGGTTGGGGCACATGCCCGGGTTGCAGGCTCAATCCTCAGTGTGGGTCGTGCAGGGGACAGGTGATCGATGATTCTCTCTCATCATTGATGTTTCTGTCTCCCTTCCTCTCCTTCCTCTCTGAAATCAATAAAAATGTATTTAAAAAACAAGACCTTCCCAACTCTAGAGCATGTAGGTATTCTCCTGGCTTTTTAATACTAACCCCAATCCTATCTTTTACAAAACCCTTCTTTAATCATCCACTGCAGGAGTGCAAACGTTTTCTTAGACCCTGGATAGTAAATATTTTCAGTTTTGTGGGCCATACACTCTCTGCCCCAACAACTCTGGTCTGCCTTGTAGCACAAAAGCAGCCTAGACAGTGTGTAAGTGAATGGGCATGGCTTTGTGCCAGTGAAACTTTATTTACCGAACAGGCGGCGATTAAATTTGGTCCTTGGGCTTTAAGTTGCTGACCCCTGACCTGTTGTGTGACAGACCTTTCCCTGCCTCGGTCTCATGGGGGGGGG